TGTATCGCTGCTGTTCCAATGTTTGACAGAATCAAAATCAACGAGCGTAGGCGTGCGCAGCGTAATCTCTCTCTAAAAAAACTTTTTTAAAAAAACAGTGCTTTCAAAAAATTGGTCTACAGCGCCATCTAGTGGTTAGTTACAGAAAAATTGATAGCCTAAAAACGTTCTCTATGAAAAATTGCTTATACATGTCAAGTTTCATCACGATCGGTTGAGCGATGTAGAAGTTTATCACTTAAAAATGTATCACTTCAAAATTGTAACATATATTTAGACATAATATTCTCCGTATCTAGACCTCGAAGACATACATTAACTTTAAATGTAGATACCGTTTACCATTTCAAGTTTAAGCATTTCTTATATAACAATAGTTCAATCAAGAATACACTGAATCCATACTTGATGAAAATTAATGATAACATAATAAAAACTCACAAAATAAATTCCATTCAAAACGCGTTAAATTGATGAAACCAGCATGTAGTGAAACGAAAATTGGTGCCAGTTTTAATGATGAAACAAGTTCAACTGACTATGTAGTCTACTATGTAGTAGTCTACTATGTGCCTGTGTCTTCGTCAAATGTGTAGGGTGAGAATTATAAAATTATTATCATGGATAACAGTGAAATCATTTGAAGAAACGATCAAACTATTATCGGTGGCGTAGATATAGAAATAGTATCCAATATGTGCCCAATTTTACTTACAAATTCACAAAGCTCTGAATGTCAACTTGTTGAATCTACATTGTATGATTTTTTTCTGGACTTAACTATTCCAATTCAATGTTTTGTGGGTTGGAAAATGAAATATTAATTTTTTTTCCTAACTTTGCGCTGGTAAGCCTCGATACATTCGGCAGCATTATCAACCAGCGACCACTCCTCACATCGTGGAGTAAGTGATCATTGGGTCTGAGAATCATGTGCCCTGAGCAAGAGCAGTGAGCCAAGAATGACAGCCTTCTGCATCTGTCCGGCTAAGATTTCTGCCTTAGGCAAGCCGGTATGATTTTAAGATTCGAGAAAAGAGAGGGCATCATTCCACCAAGGACTCCAATGATCAGAACAACCATCTTGACAAAGTGGTCTGGATAAAGTCTGAGTTCGACGAGTACTCTTTTCGGTGATATTCCTCTCGCCAGGAGCTGAAAACTCCACGACAAATATCGTCTTGCTCTGGTGGTCGAGAAGGACTACATCAGGCTTATTAGCTTATATGAGTCTGAGGGTGGGGAACGAATAGTTCCAATAAATTCGGCACTTCTCGTTACCTACAACGGATTCAATATCCTTCGTGGCGTATGGCAACACCGGTGTCTCGTCAATACCGTAAGAGTACCGTAGATGGTAATATAGCACTCTAAGGGCCGCGTTATGTCGATGGATATAGGCCGAGACCGCATATGCTGGACATGTTGATAGCAAGTGCATTAGGGTCTCGGGCGCCTCGCGGCAGGCCCTGCACCTTGTGTCAGGAACCTCTATACCCATCACGCGACTGCGGTAGACTAAGGTGTTGAAGACACCATCCTGGCAAGCCATGATGAGCCCCTCAGTTTTCGACTTCAGCCCACTCGACCTGAAGAAAGCGAAAGTCAGGCGCTTTGATAAGCCAAGGTCTTCAATGTCATTGAAGAAGACCCCATGCATTGGCTTATCCTTGTGTTTCCGCAGAAGTGAGGAGATCTCTGCGGCTTTTACATGAGCGTTTTGCTGAACAGGTTCCAACTCGGTGACAGAGTTGTGGTCACCTTATTCAGTGTCGAAAAATAAACCGAGGTCATCAGCTATTCGGGAAGCTGCCCTAAAAAGGAATGCTCTAATTCCTGCTCTTTCATGGTCACGGACCATGCAGAGAAGGGGATCCAAACTTCTGATGACTTTACAGGCTATATCCCCCGAAGCCCCGATACATTCGGGAGAGCGCGCCAGCATCATCAACCAACGATCACCCCTGACACCGTGGCGTAAGTGATCATTGTGTCCGAGAATCATGTGTCCTGAGTAAGCGCAGTGAGCCAAGAATCTGTCCGGCTAAGATTTCTGCCCCAATGCGGCAAGTCGGTTATTATTTTTCAATTGTTATTATTTACGATACTGTATACAAAACATTTTGGACACAAGGAGAATGCTCAATAAGGTCATTGGACACAACTTCGTCCTAGGACTCTTTTGAATTGGAAAGGAAATATTTTGAGGTCAATTTATTCTTCTTGTTCTATCTTCACGAAAAAATGCATCTCAGGACACTCGGTATAGTCCACTTGAGATTCTGTGTCTTCCTCGCCCGCTTCATCACCCTTTGAATTCGATCCGGATGGGTTTCACATAAACTTTATTTACAATGTGTGAAATGTATGATTTTCTTCAAGACCTTTTTATTTAATGGTGGCCATCGTAGCCCGCTCTACTCGGGGCCATTTCGGATCCCATTAATTTCAGATTTGCGGAGATTCAAGGAACCGCAGCAGTAAATCGTTTGAATTCAGAGTTCATCTGTTTCTCTATTCGACGTCTACAGAAATGAAGGTAGTTTCAATGTATGTGGATTGCAAGAAACTGAATGGTGCAACATTTTAATGTATATTGAATTAGTCATACCAATATTCGGGTTGTTTTTTACTTAAAAAACTTGGTTCCAAATGTGTTCTTTTTATTTCTCAATATCTTAGCTGAGAAATAAAACACAACAATCCTCTAGAGTCAACATTTGGAAAGATAGGGTTTAACGAGATCTCACTTCACAACGTACGATTTCAGCAAGGATTAGACGATACAAATTGCACTCCAAACGTCTCAGAGTAGAAAAATGTTACAATAGTGATTAATGCAATGGGTATAACTAACCATATTGAACGTACATCAATATATACTTAGTATATTAAAAAAAATAGTAGTGGAGTGTTTAATGGTCCGTCTTGCCTCCCACGTTATCCAACATTTTTATACTGTACTCCCATACCTAGATGCTAACAACCCTACCATATTTTCAGATTCATCTAAATTTCAACCAAAAAATAAAATAACCAATTCCACCGACGTCTTAAATAAATAGCTGGTTCTGTAACAACTCATATCACAATCTTTCCAAAACAAATTGAATTACATTCCGTACCAGATATATTTTATGACAATGACCTCAATTTCAAAATACTTTGCGAAAATTTCATCAGCTGACGGAACTCCAAATGTTGAAATTTATAAAAATACATTCTATCTTCAACAGGCCGTATTAGAAGAAATGTATATTAACTATTGAACCTCATTCACCAAGATGTGTTCGAAAATCCAGTTGTTTTCCAACAAGATCAGACATACTCAGGCTTGTGGATCGGTAGGTGCGGTCCTCTGTAATGTCCTGCTCGTTCCCGGATTTGACTCCTCTCAATTTTTTTATGGGGATATATAAAATCGAAAGTTTATGTTATGCAATCCAAGACAATACGGAAACTTAGAGACCGAGTAACCGAAACTAATGCTAGACAAAATGAGCTCTAAAATAGACTGTTTTACTGTCAGGAGGTTCTAAAAAGATAATGTGAACGTCTGCTCAAATGATTTTTTCCAATTTAAGATATATAATAATGAGGGAAAATAAAGGATATCTTTTTATGCCCTTGAACTTATTTCTATTGTATCTGATATTGCACCTTGAATAAATTCAATTTGGCTGTGAAGCTTTGAATAGTCTTGTTGGAAGTTGCATGGGAAAATATATGGTTGGACATAGATCTTCTGTAAAACGTATGGATAATAAGAGGCCTAACTTAGAACCCTGTAGCACACGAGCTAACAAAACAACTCAGAGACTTGAACTGCTCATATTCAACAAACAATTCTCTGTCAAAATAGATATTGTCTGTAAAGTACTATTAGGGAATCCATGACACCCATGTCTTTCAATTTAGCACGAAGTATATAATGATCTATTCGATCAAAAGCTTTATGGAAATCTTGATAAGAAACATGGACTCGATCTTGAGAATCACGAAATGAACACGTATATTGATGTAAACATATTGGGTTGGTAACCCCTATGTTGCATACATTTCTTGCTAATGTAACCATGGTTTTTCACTTTCGTGGGTACATTTCGAACAACACAAGAAATTTCACAATATTTAAATTGATCAATATTTTGGAAAGACAGCAGCTAGTTGGTTAGAGTGAGTGGCTCATACTACCATTCAGTCGACCTCTATAAATGGAACGGTGGTTCTAGCCCGATTAGCCCGATGGTTGGGCTAGAACCACTTATGCGATCCTAACAGAATACTGCGTATCCTGTTAGGACAATAAAAAGTATGTATAATATGAAAGAGACGACACGGCGAAGCAATTGAGAGAACTAGAAAGACACATGAGGAATGCACAACAGTAGTTGAGAGAGTAAGATGCTGACATGACTTGACAACTACTTCACCAAGATGTTATTGAGAAACATGACGAGTGAGTTGCCTTCACAGACGAATGAACAAAATGTGTGAGAAGGGGTGAACACTTTAAATAATAAAATTAAATAGGAATTGAGCCCCCAGCCCCCAGTTTCCTTCAGAGGTGGTATGCTAGTTGGATATCTCATCAATTTTCATTNAACCATACACATTCCTAGAGAAGATCTACCACAAAGAAGAGTACCTGATGCAGTACAAATACAGGCAAATTTACCTAAAGTACCTGAAATACCTGAGTTGAGACGCTCTGACCGTATAAAGAGGCAGACGACAGGGTGACAAGTTCAGTTTGAGAAGTGCCTAGAAGATGACAGTACTACCAGTTGTCGAAAGCGCTCGCAGATAATTAATAGAAGATATATATAGAAGGCAGAACGGCGTAACAAAATTAGTTGACGAATAAATGAAATACTGAATTGGGGTCAGATGTGGAATTTGACCTGAAATTTTGTAACTCCGCGTACTGATTTTTGTGTAATATATTCTGAGATGATGAATCATTATTTGAAAGCATAATCCATCTATTCTTATTCCAGACACCCTTACCAGCCGGTATGAGTGGCTCCTCTGGTTTGGACGCGCCGTGTTTTCCTATGCCTAGTTCTTCCGGTACCGGAACCAATCAATTTATGCCAACGATGAACTCCGGCTATTCCACCAAACTACATCAAGATGCGCCTTTGCCACCGCCGACGACGGATCCTTCAGTGCACTCGAATTACATGCAGGTGAGACGCATTTTTTCTTTCGCATCCATTTCCTTAATGGTCAGTAATTATCTAAGTGGCTGTGCTCTCTGAATGCTTCCCAGTTGGAATGGATAGATGAGGATGTAACACTGNGCCGACGTCGATACGGACTGATGGAATGTCCGTGTCATACATTTGTGCTCTCCGAAAACAGGGCCATATAATTTCTATTATATGATATCATTATATGCTGGCATCTCCAACTCATCCTCCAAGTTTTCCTGCTCAGCTTCTTCATTCAACACTTCAAAAGCATGTTGCCAATTGTTTTATGCTGGGCTTGTACAGTTCACGAAATGCAGGGTAGTACGGTTGACCACGCTGTTGTATACTTGGGTTCAGAATTGTTCGCTGCCGGCCAAGCGTACATGTCTTTAAGTAGGGTCACATCAATAGAAGGCCTCCTGATAAAAGAGTTAAACTGTTCAAAATTAACTGGCACTCGGCCATGTAATAATTACGCCATCAATGAAATGAATAGACTAAAAAATATAAAAAGCTAATTCTTCTATAAGGTATGCCGGAGGAGTAGGTACCTACTTACTTCTATAGAATATAGTTTATCCTAATAATAGTTTTCCCCGTTGCTTAAGTTTTTCTGTTGAAGCACTTTCTTTTTTCTAGGTGGACTTTGGTATTGATCGATAAAATATAAAATAAAATAATGATAAAAAACTTTTAAAAGAAGCTTTTATTTGAGTGCCCTAAAAAGATCAAAATAAAATTTTAAATCACATTAACCACATTCATTTATGACTTTACAGAATTGAAAGCTTGTCGCGATTCAGTCAGATAGATGAAATTCAAATTAAGAAACATTCTGACAGATGATTTAATGTGATTTAAAATTTTATTTAAATTTCATCTGACTGAATATGCAGATATTTCTTCTAGGCATTGCGACAATTTCATCATAATTTCAATTCTGTAAAGTCATAAAGGAATGGGGTTAATGTGATTTAAAATTTTATTTAAATTTCATCTGACTGAATATATAGTGATATCTTCTAGGCATCGCGACAATCTTTTATTATAATTTCAATTCTATAAAGTCATAAATTAATGTGGTTGATGTGATTTAAAATTTTATTTACATTTCATCTGACTGAATATATAGTGATTTCTTCTAGGCATCGCGACAATCTTTTATTATAATTTCTATTCTATAAAGTCATAAATTAATGTGGTTGATGTGATTTAAAATTTCATTTTGATCTTTTTAGGGCACTTAAATAAAAGCTTGTTTTAAAGTTTTCTATCATTATTTTATACAAAACTTTCTTCCTATTGGCGTAATCTCTATATTTGGTAATTTTGATCCACTGTATCAAATTGTTTGGATTGAAGTATCAATAATGACTAATAAGTAACCGCCTCAGCCACATTATAAATTAGATTTGAAAGGGTTTCTTGATCCAGAGAGATAATAGTTTGTACCGTCAGCTGAATAGGAAGAACTTCCATACAAAACTTTTCTCTGGTTCCACCGTCTATATTAACTCTGATGATGCCGGTCTCCACCGACATCTACCTATCAGTCATGTATGTTATATTTCCTTTCCGAAGAAGAGGTCATCTAATGGTTAATAAAAGTTATCAGCGACCCAAATAGCGAATGTGCATAACCGTTGTTATGTTATCCCTTTAAAATTGTTTCAGATTACTTTCATTTAGAGAAAATCTCAATGACTTCATTCAACAATAGAAATATAGTTCGAGGTGCAATTGTAGCTATAGTTTGCTAGTACTTCTAACATATATCGCTATCTGTGAAAACAAGTAAGCTGAATCAGTCGAATACTTCCCGTTGAAACATTTATAGAATAGTCCCCTCAACTGTGTTTCAAACTATTAGGGTTACATTTGATTTTAGGGTTTCTAATCAGATAGATGGCTCTCTTCTGCACATACCAGCAGTAAGTATTATTGAAGGCAAAGCTCCATACAGTTTATTATATTCCGAATAAGCTGTAGTTGAAGTTGAAGTATTTGTACAACTTTCAAAAAAGTGTTTCAAGTTTCTGAGGAGTTGCTTTTGCTAATATAATTGGTGAATAACACATATCTGTCAAATTTGACAGCTATTAAATCAAATGATGCCGCCAGCGCATTTGGATGCCCTGATTTCATGTCCAGTTCTGACACGTTCACCTTTTCTGAGAAAACTGATGTCTGAGTGTCCTAAGCATTGAATTCTACTTGGTTATTATTATTCCAAGCCCGAACTTCCTGCAGAACTTCATTGAGATATATCTGAAAGGAAAGAAGAACCGGGTGTGCTGTAGTCAGTGAAGTAATATATGTTATGGAATTTTGGTCTCTTCCGATGGCTCTTTGGTGTAAGATAGAAACAGTATTGGAGACAATATGGATTCCAGGGAAACATCAAGGATGATTCTTGGAATATAAATGAAATTTAAACGTAAAAACGAAACATTTGGTTTAGAATAAATCCAAAACAAGTAATTTCCCAAATAATAGAACTGCAATACTCTTCTTGATGTGCGTTACACAACTGAGTTGAAAGCTTCAGGAGATGAAGAAAACTTAGTTTTTCACCAGCAATATGTTTTTCAAAACATTCTGTATAACTTTTCAGATTTTTAACTACTCTGGAGTCCACCAAACTCTTTTCAATTTTTTCATATTCTAAACCAGCTGTAGGATTTCCCTCTATTCCTCATAAAAGTATATGATTTCTTAGATTCCCAAATATTCTGCATTGAAAAGACATTTTTCAGTGATTATGGTTGATATTTCTAACATCCAATATCACACCTTTCTGTATAGTCATTTGCATATTTTCATTTTCATTGATAAAAAAATAGGTTCAACACCCTAAATTACTCATCAAATGATTCAACAACCGAATAATCATCATCATACTAAACAAATAACCACCAGACAAAAAGCCATTTAATACTGCAGCCTTGACTGATGTCAAACCCCTGGTGTATTTCACATAAAGGTGTGGTGATATTTCCATTTTTTTTGTGTCGCATTCATTTAGGTAGAGTTTTTATTGATTTTATCTGGATGTTGGAAGTCGATAAATTCTGCTTTGAATTTCACTCATTTCTACAATTTTGTGATAGACTGTGTAATTTTTCATTATGAAATAGGAGAGCTATGTTTCTTTTTCACAGTGGCAGGTTTCCTTATAATTTTCTGAATGCCGTGATGAAATCGATGAGCTCTTGCACATATTGCACATACAGAGTGGCCCAACTGAAACGTGCGCAAGGCCCAGAAGAATCATTTTGCGGAAGTCGAAAAACATATTGTATGTATTCGGACTTCCATTGTTTGATATTATATGAAATGATTTGAAGTCCCTGAAACAACTAAAAAATAATTGGAAAATTAAAGAAAAAGCTTATAAACGAATAGCTGAAAAACTTAGCTCAACTTTTTATTTTTAATCTTTTTCCTTTTTTTTTATTTTTTGTATTTTTATATCTTTTTGTATACCTGTATCTTCATTTTTGTTCAATTTTTTCCATTTCTTACTTGTATTTTATTTTACTATTATTTCATTTCAGGTTTTTTTGCTTAATATAATTGTTATTTTCAGCTATTCGTTTTTATAATCTTCTTCTTTAATTTTATTAATTCTTTTTCAGTTCTTTCGTGGATTTCAAAGCATTTTATAACATATTAGACAATGGAAGTCCGAACTAATGTAATTTATCATGAAAAATTGTCAGTCACCTTCAAACAAACATATTATATGAGATGGAATCGGCGGATACATGAAAATCCATGAATTATTCAAGTAAAACTTCATTGTGAAATTGCCACTCGACAATGGCAACACATGTTGATGAAGCTATTGTATAACAAAACACGTGTTCATAAAGCTAATTATATTGAAACACATGTATATAAAGCTATTGTATATCGGAACACGTGTTTATCAAGCTATAGTATAGCAAAACACGTGTTGAAGTTTTGTAAAGTGACTAATGGAAATTTCACAATGAAGTGTTACTTACTTCATAAAAAGCGTGTTCTTTGACAAATTCACTTTTCTTTTTAAGGACAAAACTGATGTAGATGCCAGAAAAAACCCCTCACCTAATTGAGGCCCATACTGTTTTAGTCATCCTATAATGATGCTAACTTGGTAAGCGAAACGCACGTCGAGAGGTGGTGCTGAAGTTCTGGTATTATAAAAATGTTTTCAATAGATCAACACTAAAATCATACTGGATACCAACTATCCGTTCAACGTTCAACTATAGTTGAACGTACTGAGGAATTGTAACGACAAACGAGTCTTTTTCACAGTCCTAAAGTATCCAATATCTCCAAGATTAGAAACTTTATTTTTCTGCTTCATTTTTTCCAATAGTTGGATTGCAGAAGCTTCGCGGTCGAAGAAATAGTTAGGCATTGATATTGAGTGTTCCATTCTGTTTAAAAAAGATAAATCTTTAAAATTATTGAATTTTAACTCTCACTTGTATTTAAGTTTTTGAAATTTTTACTCACCGCATCATAAGTATTTAATACACTATACCAACATCTGTACATTCAATCATGAGGTCAAACCGAATGTTTTTTCAAATGAAGCAAGAGATAGTTTTGACACATATTTTTAGGAAGGAAAAAACATACTGTGGCAAATGATGCTTAAAAGTATTTTTAATATTTCATTGTACTATCTTCATTATATGTTACCTTTTACCCTCAAATTATCTACAAGAAAATTTATTCACCTATACTATACCTATACTACAGGTTAATGGACTAACACCTATCAGAAAACAACTACTCCTCTGGCTAATACCACGAAGGACGTTGGATTATATCCGACCGGTATCAATGCAGGATCCTTTACTGAAGTTATTCTGTTGGATATAATCCAACACCCTTCGTGGTATTACTCTCAAGTAGGTATTGTCCGGTCAGTTTCGATTTGACTGTCTCGGACTCTTTCAATAACCTATTTAAAAAAATTTCATAATTTTTTTCGC